ATGGAGCCCAATTATGTATAAATTATGAATTTTGAAAATTGAATATATTGAGTTGCAAAAAAAATTGTGCAAACTGTGTTAACTTAGTACTAATTGAATGTGAAATCACATTCTATCATAACCGTAAAGGTGTCACCAAAAGTGGCGCCAATATTTGCGATTTAGGTAGGAAATAAGAACAGCCGTACTACAACACTACGCTCTCTAAAGCTCGCAAGTGTAATCATAAACTATTTTTGAGTTAAGCAAAGCAATATTAGATAAATAAATTGATATCATATAAACCAAAACAAAAACCTTAAATCGGAAAAACGCTTGATCAAAATAAAATACCGCGCTGTAGTTGCAACTGAGCCGACAAAAAATCAGTGAACGATAAAAGCTGACAATGTTATTTCAAAATGATTTTTTTTTGGATTTTTCGAAAACAAACATTTCCTGGTCAGATTCGAGCTCCGGACCTTTGTCGCCCTATACATAGACGTTACCGCCATTTGCACTTTTGTTAAGGGAGAGTGTAATCTTCGTTCCGTAATTTTGCTGAGCTTCAAGTGAACAGAAAAAAAAAGACTGTAAAAAAAAACAATTTACCTGTGTTTTCTGAGGGTAGTGGCAGCGGCAGGCACAAGAGAGGAGGAGTTGTCTCGGTCTCTGTTGATGCTGTCATCTGCCCTGCTGTTCTCTCTTGTAGAACTCCTCGCTCGGGAGAAACCTCTCCCATTCGACTTCAGATCCGGTCTTGACAATCTATCCTTGCCCATGGGAGCTATCATCACACTAAAGCAATACACATATGTTACAACACAGCTTCACCTACACCAAAGATGCTTCGCCTACACCAAAAAGTAAAAGAAGTGAACAAATCCAAGGAAATGAAAAAAAACTGAAGGTTTTTAGGAAAAACTTCAACCTTTGAGTTTCAAAGCAAAAAATGAAAGGCCTTAAAGCGCTTGAACTTTCACGCAATAAATCTGGCACTTTTTAAATGAATTAACTCAAATTGAGAAAACTTGATCAATAGTTAAAGTTTTGATTCCGAAGGGAAATCTGAACATTAAAATCCACTTTCGAATATAGATCACGTTTTTATTGATCATTACACTTCCGCTGTTTGATAGTGGAGTTTGCTTCCTTTAGACAAATGAACTGAAACTGAAAGAAATGAAAAGTCACACTAAGAAATTTCGAATTTCGGCGTGAACAAGTACTGTTTTTTTTAAGTTAAAATTTGTTAACGCTGAAATTTCAATTTTCGCGGTTCGACTAAGTTTTGAATTTAAGTTCAGTTTATTCCCTTTGTTAATATCTTTAGCTTGAATATAGACTTGAATGGTCAACTCTGATGGGCCAATATAATTTTCTGTCATTTACCCTTCAGTTATGAGGGACTACCCCTTTCCTATTTCACCTGTTGTTGTTCACGTCTGTCTCATCTGTCTGATTGTGCATCTGTTCCAAGTCGGCCAGAGGTAGTCTCTGATGTTTTCCCCTTCTCACTTCACCACCATTCGTCACGTTGCTCTGCTGTTTACTTGTGTTCCCACTTGCAGATGATTGAGTTGTTGATTTGCGATTTACCGACTGATTTCTAGAGGTAAGTTTTGCTCTTGTATTGCTACGCGTGTTGGGGCCTCCTGAACAAACAATTCCCATTTTAATTTTCCAGATAGAGATAAATTAAACTTATAACTTATATGAGAATAACATGCTCACATTAGCCAAAAATTTAATTATCAAAAACTTAGTTTTCAAAGACATATTGGAAACTCGTAGATGATGTGGTCCGAACAATTAACGCAAAGCTTTCATCGTAGAAACATCAAATCAAAAAAAAATGTCTGTCTGTTTTTGATGGAACAAAACAAAATTCATAGAAATTAAACTCTGAACAAAATGAGCGTACCCAAACTGTTCGTGTTCTGACTCTCTGATGAGCTGGAGCGCTTATTCGCTACATTTCCACCACCCATTTTATCACTATGTTCTCTTTTGGCCGACATCTTCTGTGAATTGTGACTCTCACTATTGCCAACTGACTGTTTTTTCATCACCTTCACTACCACTGCATTGTTATTATGACTATTATTATAACTATTATTCGAGTCTTTCGTCTTCACTTGTGGGCTTTTGTGATCGCTTTGACTCGTGTTCTGATTGTGCGAGACGTGGTCTGTTCTGAGCATGGGTCTCACTGGTTGAACTGGCTTATCTGTCTGAGAGGGGGCCGTCGGCAGAGGTTGTTGTGGTTTATTATGGTTAGCATTAGTATTCTGACTGTGGTTTTGGTTTAATTGTAGACTGCTTCGGTCTAGTGAGCTGTCGGCTAAGGTGGAACTATCAGCCACAACCTCCCATCTATTGTCTTTCTGCACTACGAAATGCTCTACAATAAAATAATTCAAAAAAAATAACTATTTTTCTAAACATTTCTTCATTTTTGTATTGGTAAGAACAGTACAGTGGCAAACGAATAATTAGAGGGAAAAGTTTTTAAAAAGATTTCCGTATAGATAGTCGTAATCCTCCTTTTGGTGGCGTGTCACATAGCCGAACACTCAGAGATCCGAAAAAAAGGTTCCGGATAGCCGAACATTAAAATAAATATAGCCAGTAGTCAGCTGGAAAAAGTCAATGAGCGCAAGTAAACAGAAAAAACACCGACTTAATTTTTTAAAATCTCAACATTCGATATTCAAAAAAAAAAAATTATGCCCTTAGAGCTCTTTGAATTTCATGAACAACCTATGATTGGCACTTTTTCGATTAACTTAACCCAATTTGAGAAAACTGGATCAACACGTAAAATTGTTATTTCGATGGGAAATCTGAAAAACAAACGCTACTTTCAAAACTAGACGTCAACTTTCACTTTTTGCAGTTCGATAGCCATGTCTTATATCAAAAAAAAATTAACTGAACTTGAAAGAAATCACGTGAAACCCCAAAAAAGTAAATTTGAGCTGAGCCTGAACAAAACTCAAGACTTTTCCGAAAAAAAAACGAGGAATCGACTTTTAAACATGAACACAAAATCAGATTCACGCAGCATTGGCATTTTATGCAAGTTTTCAGCTTTTAACCATTTCTTTGGCTATCCGAAATTGCGGCTTTTTGGTTCTCATCCTCTCGTCTTTAACATTACAAAAATTCACATATGGAAAGAAAGAGAAAAGATGTTACATTTATCCAAAAAACTCTGATTCATTTCAACTTTGAGAACAAGATAAAATAGGGAAGCGACACGGAGAACATGCCACAGTATCAATAAGGTGTCCACATAGCACAATCCAGTAGCAGATGGGGGGCGGAAGCCCCCTCCTTCAGGGACTTGACCTACTGCCGACACAAAGTGTCCCCCTCAAAACTTTTCTAAAGGCCCCTTCGGTGCCAATCTATACTAATTTTGAGGGATGTGCGCGCGCCGAAAAAAACGCAATTTTTTGGTCGAAACTTTCCAACAAGTGCCTATAAACGCCTTTTTCCAAAAATTTGCCTGCGGCGCACTAAAATTCGTCCAATTTGGGTCTATTTATAGTGCTTTAGGAAAGCTCGGAAAATCAATATGGTCGACCTAAAAAAAAGGTCGTCAAAATTTTGGAATTTTTTTTGAAAATCCGCCCCCCCTCCCGCTCGAGAAATTCCTAGATCCGCGCCTGGAAAATCTCTTGGTTGTTTCAAACATAGCAAGCAGACAGATTTGGACACGAGACAATGAATGCAAAAAAAAACAGAAAATACTGACTCAAATTTCAAATTTTACTTTTCCGAAGTTTGTTGTAGATACAGAAGCGAAGCACAACTTGCGATAATCATAAAAAAGCATGTCGAAAAAAAATGTTGGAAGAAATAAGGTGAACTTAAATTTTCATATGTTTCGATGAAGGACACCTAAGGATCAACTAAAGCTGGAGATACGTCTTTGATATTTTTGAATTTGTTATACCGATGCGGGAAGAACTGCGTAATTTCGAAAAAAGGACTTCGACCAAAACCTTAATTGTTTCTCTAATAAAATAAGTGACAAGGGAAAATTTTTTTTTTTGAGATTTTCAAATTCTCTGACAAAAATAGGGAGTAGTCACTTCTGCATGAAAAATTTGATCGATCGCTTGTTTAGATTGAAATTAACATCTTTGAAATTTTCCAAAAAAAAAACGGTCGAAGTTCAAAAACTTGACTTTGCCAAGTCCGTTTAAAAACTTCTGCTTGAAGCAGCTCGTGGCCGGTAAAGAATAGGAGAGTCCAGAAATTGGTTTTCTCGATTAAAAAATTAACCTGAAATTTAGCACGGTAATTTTCGAGTGGAGTAAAAAAAACTTCGAAAAAACGGTCTAAGTTTCAAAACTTTCATTGGTTGAACGCAACAAATTTTTCCAAAAAATTTGGACCTAGCAAACTAGAAATGTCAGCTTCAAACAGCCTGTGGGGTCGATTAAACTTATGATATCAGATTTGAAAGGATAGTTAGAGAAAAGTCCAAAAAACGGTCAACAAATCAGAAAGTTGACATTTCCGAGAATTAAAGCTTTTTGCTTTAAAAAAAACGTATCCACTTATGCAGAAAAGATCTGTAAATTCGTTGAACCAAAACTGTAAATTCGTTGAACCAAAAATCCAGGATTGGTAGGGTAGTTCTCGTTGAACCAGAACTGTAAATTCGTTGAACCAAAAATCCAGGATTGGTAGGGTAGTTCTCGAGAAGTTTCAAAAACGTTCAAAAAATCAAAAATTTGTATTTTTCGAGGGGCACAGGTTTTTGTGACAATTTTTTTTGCGTAGTCGTGTATGCAAATGAGCTTTTCACAGCCCGTTCTTCGGATTAAATCTAAAATCTACGATATGAGAGACTCTTTTCGGTTAAAACTTGAAACACCGCTCAAAAATCAAAAGGACCGTAGCTTTTCCGAGGACAATAACTTTTTGTGAATAAAATGCGGCAGGCCGCTAATGCAGTAAATTTACGGTATGTTTGAGCGATAAAAGGAAGGATTTAAAATATCCCTGCAAAGCTTCACTGCATTAGCGGCCTGCCGCATTTTATTCACAAAAAGTTATTGTCCTCGGAAAAGCTACGGTCCTTTTGATTTTTGAGCGGTGTTTCAAGTTTTAACCGAAAAGAGTCTCTCATATCGTAGATTTTAGATTTAATCCGAAGAACGGGCTGTGAAAAGCTCATTTGCATACACGACTACGCAAAAAAAAATTGTCACAAAAACCTGTGCCCCTCGAAAAATACAAATTTTTGATTTTTTGAACGTTTTTGAAACTTCTCGAGAACTACCCTACCAATCCTGGATTTTTGGTTCAACGAATTTACAGTTCTGGTTCAACGAGAACTACCCTACCAATCCTGGATTTTTGGTTCAACGAATTTACAGTTTTGGTTCAACGAATTTACAGATCTTTTCTGCATAAGTGGATACGTTTTTTAGTAAATTTTCCAAAGCGTCTCAAAACAATAAAATAAAAAACCCAATCCCATTTACTTTCATAATACTGTTTTTAACAAACATGAATCCTGGGTAAACATGCCAAGCAACACATATGAAATTAGCAACTGAACAAAACTGAAGCGGAAACAAGGCCAGCAATCTTTGAGCAGACACCAGTTGAGCCGGAAAAACAACTGATTTTGTAAAATTAGAACCCAACTTGAGAAAACTGGATTAATAGGTAAAGTTAATATTCCGCTGGGAAATCTTAAAATAAATTCCACTTTCGAAACTAGAAATCGTTCAGGTTTTTCGCACCATTTCCACGTTCGTATTTGGAGAGTGCTATTCACGTCACTTTTAGCAGATGAATTTCAATCGAACTCAAAAGTGCATTAGACCTAAGTGCATCAATATTTTAAGAGTTTTGCCTAAAAAAACAAAAAAAAATCAGCAAGACCTATATATGAGTCTTCACTACGTTCATTACTCTGAAAAAACACCTCCGAAACTACCCTGTAGGAACTATCACACACGCAGTACTTAAATTTGAATTTCAACAAAGAGGCGAAGCTTCACTCAGCAAACATTATCGAGAACACGGCAAAAAGCAGCTCTATAATGTGCAAGTATAAATATGCCTCGAATTGGTAAAAACTCGGCTAAGTCTCGGATTCAATCTGCGACCTAGAGATTATGAGTCTCACACACTAACGACTCAGCCCCGGACGCTTAATTAATACAAACATCAGCCACAAATAAAGCAGAGAACAGATGCTATGAAATGCTAACGATCGTGATTATAGCAAAAATGCCACGAAATAAGTTAACAATTTTAGTGAACACTTTTATATGCGAGTTAGGTTAGGAAACAAGAAGGGTCGTACTAATACACTACGCTGCTCGCAAGTGTAATGAAACTGAGCATATAAGCTGCATAGTGATTGAACTGATTTTGTTAAACTGGTTGTTATACCGAAAAAAGTCTAACTCCGATTAGATAACGCTCGCTAATCTCAAGTGTAAACATATTAGGAAGTCTTTGCAACATATTTTAAGCTCCTGCGCAACACTATACTCGTTATACATTAAAGAGTCGGATTACTAACGTTTGGCACCCATCCTGTGGTTCGTGGAAGCGTCAGTCTGTTTGGTAGAATCCACTGACTGACCACCAGTAGCACTGCTGTTGTTCAAGTTCTGCTGCTGCTGCTGTTGTTGTTGTAGTCTCATGTGCGCACTGCCAGAATTGATTCTCTGCAGATATGAGACCTAAATGCACAAATCGCCAACTATGATACAGTATTTCATATTTACAGTCATATGAAATAGCTAGTGAATCCGCCTCTTACTCGAATTGTCGGCGGTTCGAAACCACCAGATCTATGTTTGTCCGAATCAATGATCAAAAAGGCTTGTTATCGACAACTGAGCTCGCATGTAGTGCTACAAACTGTCGTTATCACAGGATTATGATTTACAATAACAACATTTTCTCTAAGCAATATGAATCACCTTCTCGCCGGCTATTCGGCTCAAATCTGTCGTCGACGAAGTCAAATTAAGTGTATTCGTTGTATGATTGTGATCGCTCACTGGCTGTTGATTCTGATTGGCTGTCGAGGTCTGTCCTGTTCCGGAGCTGTTGTACCTGGGCGGCCTTGGTTGGGGTTGTACCATGGCGGCTCTGTTCTCAGCAAAAACAAAGTCAATTAGTAGATTCAAAGTAACCAAAAGGAGAGACTGTTGCTGCGCAAGTAGCACTGAATGTTCCAATTACTTTTGTAATTATAAAGAAAAACAAATAAAAACGAACAAAATTACCAACCTGGCTAAATTATTGTCTGAACAGCCCAGCCAAGTTTTTTTTGGAATCCAAATAACGATTAATATGGCTTTCAAATGATATCATACTATCTTTCCTCGGTGTAACCAAAATCAGAAAAAAAAACACCCTGCTCTATAGTTTTTTCGCACTTAGTGCGAAGAAACTACAAGTATTAATCCTACTTGCTAAACAAAATTAGGGATAAAAATCAAACTATGGTAAGCATATCGGAACACGATCTTTATTTAATTGTAAACTCAGACAGTTATAAACTAGGAAATATTAACTTACTAAGAGAAAGACTTCAATGAATTTTTTTCTCTCTTTTAAGCTTAAATAGCCTCAAATTTTGCACAATCTTTTCAGCTTACAAGATATGGCAATTTTTATGATTGTCTTAAGATTTTCAAAACTCTTTAAAAAGGAGAACATATAGGTATTTGTTATATGAGCTGGATTGTATGATAAATGGTAGCAAACAACACTCGTATAAGCTAATGTATTCAAATATCTAAATTAACAAGCATTTTCATACAATTCATGGCATAAGTTTTATTTTTTTTTCTAGAGGCGAAGCTTCGCCTCGCAAAAACTATCGATAACAAGACAAGAAGCAGCTCTATGAAGTGCAATAAGAAAAACTAGAAATACGCCTCGAATTAGTACTAACTCAGCTCCGTCTGCGACTCGAACCTGCGACCTTGAAACTAAGTCTCAAACTCTAACCACTTCGCCACGGACGCTTACATATGCTATGCAATTTCCAATGCTACAGTGACATTAGCAAATAAGTTAACACTTAATAAACACTTTTATTTGCGCGTTAGGTTAGAAAAAAAGAAGGTTCGTAATAATACACTAAGCTGATGGCTTGTGTAACTATATTTCTAATACTTCTTTTCTTTTCAGCCCAACTTAATTCACGATAGGTGTATAGTGAACATCGCTGTTGCCTTTTTCTATCATCCCCTGACATGAATTTACTAAGACAATAGTTTAAACACTTATTTGATAACTAAATATTTTGATATTTGTTGTATTAACGATAATGATTCGAAGAAATAAATTCTTTCTTGCTTTCTCCGACAAAGAAAGAACCAAAACGCTAAATTCTAAAAGATCTAATGTACATTACGCAGGGGCCAATTTAGAGAGGGGGAGGGGGACGTCCCTCCATTTAAGGATCCGACCCCTCGCCACCTAAAGAGTCCCCCTTTTTATTGGTACCATTTTACGAATTTGGAGTTCAAATTTTGACAACCCCTTCTTTTCTTTCTTACAAGGAAAAATAGCTCTTCAGACTTTTGATATTCTTCAACATAATGATAGAAAAGACACACGAGATGAGCGTGATTATGATTTAACTACATCGAGACCACTCAACTTACTGTCTTCTAGCAACCCAGCGTCTCTGGTTCAGAGAATCCACGAATATGCTAAATTCATTTAATCCAATTCGATCCTCAATATTGCAAGCTAGTAGCAATTTATAGCCCAATATAAGAAAATAGCCAGCATATGGCTGGAAAATTGTAACGAAACTGCTAATGAATGACACTTTTTTCCTAAATTATCTTACATAAAGAAAACTGGATCCATCCATTTTTTCATTCCGCTGAGAATTCTTAAATTAAAGCCCATTTTCGAAACTAGAAGTCATTCAGGTTTTCAGTGACCTTAACAGTTTTGGAACTTCATAGTCAAGTTTTAGGAAATGATTTTGAACTGAATTGAAAAGGAAATCAAAATTCAAATTTGAACGTGAATAAACTTAAGACTTTACCTAAAAAAGTTTTAAAAAATCATCACAATCTATGTAAATAAAAATCACTTCGTTTTTTTTCCACTTGAACATAGCGCCCAATGAACCAAGCATAAAAGCACTAAAAAAATTACGCCGGGAACGTATTGCAGAAAGTACTGCGGACCTGGAATGACTGAGAAAAACTATTTGCCAAAATCTAACTGGAGATTTTGACTTTTTTGTTATTGCACACCGGAAACTTACCGACTGTTGAACACTGAAACTCCTCTGGCGAAGTTTGAAGACTTCAAAGTGCCATTTTGTACTTTCGTTGTTCCATTCTGGCCAGCAGCAACACTCGATTCTGTTGAGTGGCTGGAGAAGACCCCGTCGTGTGAACTAGGAGGGGGCATGATTGGCACTGGTCGAAGAAAGGGGTTGGGCGAAGAGTTCACAACAGCAGCAACTGGTTTCGTCTTCATGGCTGAACTGCAGCTGCTGCTTGGTCGTTTTGGAGGATCAGGCTTCGCTGGAGTCTAAACGAAAAAAAAACTAGCCAACATATAATCAGAAACAAGTTACTGCGCTCGACAAATTAGAAACAAGGCCTAATTTTCATGGAGTTTTATCAACTTTCGTAGAACACTTCGAATCGCCAGTTCTCTTTGATTTTAAGATAATTATATGAATATCTGATTAATTCAAAAAATAACCTAATTTGAACAGAGGTGAAAGAGAGCTTCACGCCACTTGCGATATCACACTAAAAAGCACAGCGAAAATCCGAATTAAATTAAGACGAGAGCCACTGAATTGAAAAATTTGAATGTCGCACAAAAGAACGAAAGTTCAATTTGACGAAAGCGATGTCGCGAAACATTATTGCCAGTGTAATATTAGTATTGAAACAAAATTTAACATAGCCAACTGACATTTGGAAAAGAGTAATAAACGCAGGGTAACTCCAAAAAACTGACTTGTTTTTTGACAAACATTCAACTTTTGAATTTAGAAGAAAACATAGATGGCCTCAAAGCTCTTTGACGTTGAAGAACAATTTATGATTGCCACCTTTTTGATAAAATTAACCCAATTTGAGAAAAATGGATCGATAGGTAAAACTTTTATTTCACTGGGAAATCTGATAATTAATTTCCATTTTTGAAATCAGAAATTGATCACGTTTTTCGTGACCTTTAGATTTTTATTGTTCGATAGTTGGCCTTCTTTTTAACAAAAAAATGAAGCGAACAAAAAAATCAAAATTAAAACCTCGAAAAATCAAAATTGAGCGTGAACAAATTTTTTCCCGAAAAGCCAGCAAAAAATCACCAGTACCTATATAAGACTATTCACTTCGTTCATTACTCTTAATCAAGCAGTAACTAAGCAGGCAATATTTGTGCACGCAACCGTTCAGCCGAACAAAGATTGTCTCGAAAAATTTGATCCACGAAAGTTTTGAGATTCCAAGTTTCTATGCATAAAGCACAACCGCAATAAAATATTTGTCGCCTTTCAAAAGCTCTTATGAGGCAACTATATTGATGAAAACAAGGTAAACTCACAGCCTTTAAAGCACAAAAATAAAATTCATGATACACAAACGGTATAAATGCAAACTATTAAAATTAATCAAATTGAATTTCAATCACTGTATACAGAGCCACTAGACTTTTCGAAAAGTGTCAATGAACGCACAATAGAAAACAAAATTCAATTTTTTTCAAAAACATAGCCAATAGACTGTTGAAAAAAAGTAATGAGTCAATAAACAGAAGTTAACAGAAAAAAAAACAGACTTGTTTTTTGAGACACTTTCCAAGAAAAAAATAGATGGCCATAAAACTCTTTGAATTTCTAGAACAAAAAAGGATTGACTTTTTTTATAACATGAAGCCAATTTGAAAAAAAAAATGGATCAACAGAAAAATTTGTGTTTCGCTGATAACTCCAATAATTAAACTCCATTTTCGAAACTAGCAATCGATCACGTTTTTCGTGACCTTTACACTTTTGCTGTTCGATAGTGGAGTTTGCCTTCCTTTTAACAAACTAAAATTTGACTAAAATTTCAAAAAATGAACTAAAATTTCAAAAAACCAAAAGACAAATCACGAAACGGTAAATTTGAGCCTGATTAAACTTAAACACTTTCCTGAAAAAAAAAACGACTCTTAAAAACTTCAATTCTCGAATGTATAAAGGAAAATTAAATGCATTGAAAGCTCAAAAAATATTATTGAAACTTTTTTTATAACATGAAAGCGAGTTTTTCCGCTGAGAAAACTCAAAAACATACCCAAGTGACAGTAAGAAAAGAATAAAGGCAAGGAAACAACAAAAAAAAACTGATTTGTTTTGGGAAAACTCGAACTTTTGAATTTTCAAAGACATATAAAAGCCCTTAAAGCTCTATGAACAATAATGATAACCTAATTTCAAAAAACTTGATCAATAAGTAAAATTGTTATTCCGCCTGGAAACCAAATTAAATTTTACTTTCGAAACTAAAAGTTAACACGTTTTTTCGCGCCGTTTCCACGTTCGTTTTAGGAGCGTGCTACTTTCGGCAGATGAATTTCAATTGGACTCAAAACATGAACTCAAAATTAAACACAGAGACGAACCGAAGGTTCGCAACACTTGCGATACAATTATAACATTGTGTTACAACATGTTCAATAGAAAAAGTTGATATTCTGAAAAAAAACATTACTAGAAAAATCGAAAAAAGTTTCAAACCAAAATTCCATAACTTTGACTCGGATGAAGCTCAAAAACAGCCTCTGCAAGGATTGAGAATCAATGATCGAGCGGCAACCAAGACAAAAAAACTTGTGTGAACCCTCGGTAAGCCGAAAACAAACGAAACTTAAGCCATAAAAAATTTAAGCTATAAAATTAAAACATAAAAAAAAATTAAAATTATTCATAATCAGAGCTGGAAAATTTAGAACTACAGAACAATTTTCAATTACAAAAAAACTGTTTGAATCAAAAATAAAACAAGCAAAACTTATTTTGAAAAGAAACTGCTCGAAAAGCGCACTAGACAGCATAAATTGCATTAGGAAAAAAACGGAGAATCAACCGACAGATATTATGACGAAAACCAAAAGTTCGAGAAAAATCAACATGTTTTTTCAATTAACATTTTCGAAAAAATGAATTACAACCTGAAACGCACCAAGAAAAAATTTAATTTGAAATTTCCAGAAATTGAGCAAGCCTGAGCAGTTTACGAACTTAAAAGAAAATTTGTTTACGGGAAAAAAATCCAGTTCCCGAATATACATCACTTGCTCTCACAAATGGAAAAATCGACCGTTCAAACGCGAGAAATTAAATTTGAGAAAAAAAAACACTAAATCATCACGACCTACAGAAGAGTCCATATAACATTGTTCAAGTCAGAATAAAAGTCCAAGATTTGGGAAGAATACCGAGGAAACAAGCCAGTAAAAAAAAAATTCAATAAAACATTTCAAATAGAAAAAGTCTCCTGACCGGAATGGAAAAGAGCTTTCTATTTTCTACTTACTCAGCACTTACAAGTTCACTCAATGTAAGAAATTAGAATTGTGCGAACGAAGACACCATTCATTGAACTAAGTCCGTGAACTAAAATTCTCGGACACTGACCAATTCCCATTTAAGTAGACTCAACCGATATAAATAATTCTGCCAATGAAGACCACATTTCCGTACGACAAGCACAGAATGCTCCGACTAGATTGCAAGTTCCGCTCATTTTTTAAAATTTTGCAACAGCCAACTGACAGTTGGAAAAGAGTACTCAACGAAAGTTAACGCAAACAAAACACGGACTTGTTTTTTTGAAATACCTCCAATTTCGAATTCCAATGAAAAAAATGAGCTAAAACTTTTTGATCTTTTAGAACAATTTATGATTGACACTTTTTGATAAAATTAACCCAACTTGAAAAAAAAACTGGATCAAAAGAAAAGTTTTTTTTCGCTCGAAAATCTGATGATTAAATACCGTTTTCGAAACTAGAAGTCAAACTTTTTCGTTGCTCGATAGTGGAGTTTCCTTCCTTTCAACAAAAGAATTGAACTTATCTTAAAAAGGAATCAAAAGTCAAGCGGCGAAAAAACAAATTTGAGGGCGGACATTTCCTGATGAAATAAAAACAAAAGAAAATCATCACGACCTATCTTAGAGTCTTCACTGCGTTTATTGACTCCTAATAAATTTTCGGAAACGTTGTCCATCTTTTTGCTGGACAAAAAAAAGGTGAAAACCTTGATTAACAGAACACTTGATGTGTTTTCCGACCTTGAAATGAGGAGTCTCATTTCCTCGCATCTGCGCCACGGATCCTTGAAAGTAACTAAAACTAACCACTAATAAAGCAGCAACAGATGCCATAAATTATCAATGTTATGCCGCAAAAATGCCACCAAATATTAGTCAAAAGTCACACCGCAAAATATAACATGTTAGCGTAAAAAAAAACATAACAACCTAGAAAAGAGTTTTCACTACGTTCATTGACCTCAAATCAATAGTCAAACGGCAAAAAATTAAACTTCAGTGGAAACAAATTCAAAAACTTTTTGCACAAATAAAAATAAAAACCACACGATCTGAAAAGGTGATATATCACGCCGTTCATTATTACTGGGTGCTCGGCGGAATTGAACCCACTACCTTGTCGTCCCAAGCATGGACGTAATATTCACCCTAAACGGACAAAATGAGTACTGTGCCTTAATATACTACATAGGCGAGACGCTGCGCTTCGCAAACACGCCAAAAAACGTTTGTTGTCGGACTGCAACTGGTTACCTCGAGATTTGCGAAAAAAACTACCTCGATTCTCACGTCCTCGCATCTGTGCTACGGGCTCTTAAACGTCAGTTAACACTAGCCACAAAAGATGCAGCTACAGATGATAATACCGTGCCAAGGCTATGCAGCAAAAATGCCATCAAATATAAAAATCACTTGTGCTAAGCGCCGTATTGAATCTCTGAACAGTGCATAGTAGTCTCGCGTCCTTCCCAATTGTGCCCTTGTCACTTAAAAAATGAAAAACAATAGCCACAAATAAAGCAGAGAACAGATGCTATGAAATGTTGAGTTGAACTGAAAGAGGACATATATGCCATAGTGCATCCATAAATGCATTAAAAGTTATCAATGCACTTCTGAAGTTATTAGAGCATTTTAATACTTTTTCTAGAAAAAAAACAGCCAACTGAATATTGGAAAAAAGTAATGAACGCAAGTAAACATGAAAAAACGCTGACTTTCTTTAAAAAATCTCATCGAATTTCAAAGAAAAAATAGATGCCCTTTAGGCTCTTAGAATTTCAAGAAAAATATTTGAATGGCACTTTTTTTGATAAAATGAACCCAGCTAGAGAAAACTTGATCAATCGGTAAAGTTTTTATTCCGCTAGAAATCTAAAAATCAAATTCCACTTTCGAAACTAGAAATTGTTCACGTTTTTTTCGAAATCGTTCACGTTTTTTTCAACTCGTCGATGAATTTGTCCGAAAATGAAAAAGACATTTTTGGATTCCGCATCTCAACTAAAATTGCTTCAATGTGATAACTCACTCAATGCCTAACGGAGCATATTTGGGGTACCTAATTTTGTCTAAAAAAAATTCGTGCCACTGTCTAGAGTGGTCGGACAAAAATATCGCATGCGAAATGGCTTTCACGAAAAAAGTTCGGTGCAAACTTTGATTTTACGTGCAATGAATGAAGATGCTGCAAAGATGTCGAATTAAATGCTGCGCTTTTTACAAACCAATTGATTATTCAAACGAGCGCATCTCCTCTCTCTATTAACGGACGCCGACAAAGATCGATCATTGTTAATTCGTGCAGAATGCAGATTAACGAAGTGAGGACGCCTGCTCTCTTGTTTAGATTTGACACTGTATTTGTACCTGCAGGCGCCATCATCGACAGACACGTTATCAGGTGGAGGTGGTCTCTTTTTCCCACGCAATCCGTCCAAATAAACACTCAAATTCTGCTCTTCTCGTGGACTCTTATATAGAAGCACATTATTAACTCCAGTAAAAATATTGATTTTGTCGCCAAAAGAGAGCCATTAATTAAAAATAATAGATGAAGTTTAAGCTTGCCAGAAGCTTAGATTGGAAAAGTCAATATGATTCTTAACTTTCCGAGCTCCCTCTAATAAAAAAAGTCATCTTTTCGCCAATAAACTGAATCTTAACACTCCTACAGCATTCTGAAATCTGAACACATCGCATTCAATTCATAGGAAGCTAAATTCTAACCAAAAATGAGACCAAAAATGTTGATATTGACAATATACTTTTCAAAATACCCTTGCTAATCGCCAGATTAATCGATTTGTCACACGCAAAGGGGAGTAGCTTTTACTTCATTAGTACTATGGTTATCCAGCAAACAAATTTTCGCATTTAATAACCTCAATTACCTGTCGATGTAGAGCGTATGACACTGCCGCACTCTGGGGTCGTTGACCTTTGCCGACCTTTAGCAGCTGATTGTCACCCCCTGCATATCTGCTGTCCCATTCTACAAACTCCACCACCCCGTTCTCATTTGCCCCTCCAATTCTCGGCTGAGTTTCTTCTGTTCTGCCGTACTTGTTGTTTTTCCCTTCAAAAAAAACTGAACAATGAACACACAAAACTAATCAAAAAATATCAATTCGTCAATTGTGCACGCAAAATTGAAAATTCACACTACCTTGAACATAAATTTTTTTTAATTAGCAAGCAATTTTTTTTGGAAATAAGTAAGTTGATTTTCTTACTTCATTAGGTTTGTTTGAAGTTTTTGCCATTAGTATACCTGCATGTAAATGGGGCTCAAAGTAATGGAAACACTGCTGCTCTTCGCTTTTGATTGTCTTCTGTGTATCAGTCTCTTCTATGAAGCCATTTGTATGGTTTTTTAGATCTTCTGAAAATAACATTGCTTAGATCGATAGAAATTTTGAGGGTCAAACAACGCTTCCAATGAGTTCTTGAATTCTACTGGCAAAAATCACCATCCGAACCTTGTTTTATCAGTAACGTGAATTTGAATAAAATTTAGTCAGAAACCCCACTTTAGAGTAAAACCTTAAGCAATGAAGACACCATTTAATAGTCAGCCAACTGGACTCATATTTGTTATTATTTTATCAGCTAGCTATACTACTTGTTTTTTTTTCCATTTTTGAAAAAGAACAACTCATTGTGTATCATTGAACCTTCAACGTTGACATCCTTTGAGTGCTCGTCTCTGTGTGCATCACCATTCTGTAAATCCTGATTCAACTTCAGCTTGTAGGAAACACTCTCCAACTTATTGATGACGTCATTTGTCCCCCCTTCCAACTCTTTCCCTGATTTGCCATCTCTTACTGGGTTGAGACGCCCGGTGAATGTGAAGTACTGAGCAAGTGGTGTGTAGGAAGCAGAATCCGTGTGAACAACTGGCTGCGTCGCCACAGCTGATGCATACTGACTTTTCACCGGCACGTTTCTCGACGACATGTTTTTGAACCTACAGAAAGCAATCGTTACACAGAGGCAAAGCTGCATTTCTTCGCATAGAAAAGCAAAAAAAAACAGCAGATAGGCGCACTAAAATTTCAAGAAAACTTGACAAGGAATTTCAAACCAGCTACCGCTATTTCATAAATACATAACTTAACCACTGAAACTGCCCACGATTCACAACTTCGCATATACTTGCAATGTAAGCACCAGGTGATAAACACGTTATCGAATAGCAGGAAAATTTTAAAAAGCGAATTACGCTTCTTTGATGAAGCAGAAGTTAACTTGCACCTGTCCGCTTCACTCAATTTGCAAATTTTTTTGTATCCAATTTCAATGCTATCGTGTTTTTTTGCACTCATCCAAAAGTTGCATGCGGAATCAACGCGGTTTGACAAACTTTTTAGAGGTAAGATGTCAAAACAACAACACTGGTTCTAAAAGTGATCCACTTTATAGTAACTTAATTTTCAGACAGCAACTCGGAAGACAGCAACTCGGAAGAAAAAATGCGATCTGGCTCTTCTAGGTTTTTTATCAGAGGATCTGGATAAGAAACTGCTTTGAGGAGTTTTGGCTCTATACTCTTTCTAGAAACCCCTGGAATATATTCTTGATCTTGCGAGCATCCTGTGGAGCTTCAAATGGTCGAGAACCGGCACCTGAATGTGTCGGCCTTGGATCTACACTTAACCAAACGTTTTTATGTGTCTGGCCAATGTCGTAGAACGGGATCTCTATCATGATCAGCAGGGATCTCCATCATAACATCGCTGCTCGAGCTGGACCCTATGCGAATGTGCATGCCTGCAGATGCTTATGTACTGCTATATTCCTTTGGGGAGACGACAAGCATCTTCGACTGTTCTGGCTTCTACGGGAAAGATGAAATCGGCTGGCTTCATGAAATCGGATGCGGCAACATTAGCAGTGTCTCGATGTCCACGGATTGCTTGGTAGGAGTTGGAGGATACCCCGTAGATGACGTGGGTAGTTTCCACTTCTTGGGAGGGTCCTCAGGAGTGTACCTCCAGAAGAGCTGATGAACGCTGCGATCCTTGGAAGCCGATACATCTTGCTGATGTCCTCAGTCAAGGTAATCCCGAAGAATCGCAACCGTGTTAAGATTTGGAAAAAGTCCGGTTTGGAACAGGTTGCTTAGGACTGTGAAATGCCGGCGCCGAAGCGTTGAAGACTGCACGACTATCCGTTGTCGAGGAGGCCCGCTTCCAAAGTACATGATGAGGCATCACGTATCTTCCGACTGTAAGGAAGGAGTCCTGCTACGGTACCTCTTCCAGATGACCAGTCTTGATCATCTCTTCGAAGAAATTCACATACTGTTTCCGAGCCTCTCAATTCCTGGCACAATTCTGTTCGTTGAGGTAGAACCGACTCAAGTAGACTGCTGAAACAAAGCTGGAGCTTCTTGAAGACTTAACTCCTTTCTGGCACATTTGCATTTCGAAACATTTGGCAACTATAAACGCGATGATACTGCTGACATGCTTTGACGTTTAACTTCGGAAGTTATGGTGGTTCACGTCTTTTATAAGCAAGAAAGAGTTCTTTGACCTCTCGCTGAGGTCTGGACACACTGGACGCGAAACCCTTCAGAGATCTAACCCGATTAACCAAAACATCTAGCAAACCCCGTAACGAAGGACATACTGGCCCTGGATTATGAAGCGCCCATGCCTTCTGTGTGACTCTGTTTCTATCTTTGAGGATAAGAGATGATGCCACAAATTTATGTTAACGTCCCAACTCATGGCTGATATCGATTGGTTGGCTTCATTAAACGTGGAATACAAGATTCTAATTTGTATGACATTCTCTTTCTTGAACAATCGAAAACTTATGACCTAAGAAGCGTCCTTGAGATGAGACGATCATTCTTGTAAGTTCCTCCAGCAGTCGTCGGGCCACGCCATAGTTATCCTCAGTGGTAGGGAAAATTCTGGTGAGTCGTTCTGCAGACCACTTTACGCATCGCTTGATTTACACAAAATTCTGGCCTTTCGACAGCTTCGTGTTGTTGTGGACATGTCTTGAATTGGTCCATGAATGACAAACACAACTCGTATCTCCTGTCGAATTCAGGGAGTGAGATTGACCGCACTTTACGGACGACACTCATGGTTTGACTGGTGTTTACTGGATTGGACGCCTTCATTCGATCACGCTCTTGAAAAAGGAGATTCGTGATAATTGTCGCGAATAATCTCGTTTTTTATTATTAATCCCCGGCTCAGCTCCCACATTTCAACCTTGGACCTTTTAATCCGTGTGGAGAGAGATGTCATCCATTTTGCCGCATCAAGTCCAACCTTGGGCACGCGGAGGCCGCTGGGACCCCTCCGAACATGACCGAAGCGGGATTTCAAATCCCAGACCTTTGTGTTGAAGGTCGCCGCGCGTCTTCTCCACTCGGTCATGGCTATTCTCATCGTCTTGGATAACAGTTGGACCATGTTTTAAGTGATTTTGAGCCTCTGGAGATCATACAGTCCAAATCAACAGGATCGATTAGACTCAAAACGAACTTGTAATCAATTAGACTCAATGAGTGGGTTGAATGCATAGCAAGTATGCTGTGGAAATAGCACAGACAATTCCGACATTTTTGAACATGAATATTTTTGAAAAAAATGAATGGTTTTTATTACTTCGTTTTTTGTCCATGGTAGGATCAGATGATATGAATGAACACATATACTCTAGACATATCTGATAGAAATAGTAAATTAAGCATTTGCGACAACAATTTTTTTATAAATGAACAAAACGCTTAAGAAACCCAAATATTTATGAAATTTCTTAATGAATTAATTTTTTTTAAAAACATTACCAAGGCGCTGGAAGAAACTTTAAAAGTAATTCAAGGGAGTAAAAATAATAACCTCACGAGTCGGTACTCGAACCCTAGACCTTGTGTTTTGACTGCACGTGCTACACATCTAGCCTATATGAAAACAAGCCTTCGATAATAAAGCAAGGTCAATTACTCAGATCTGTAAGCAATGCTGTTTTCGGGATTCTAGTTCATGATAACAAGCTTTACTGAAACCACAAATTGTATCATCGACACCGAATACTTTGCCCAAATTTTTAAGTCCTGTTCTCTTATTACAGCGACTGCGACAATTAAAGTGTAAAATTTGTGATTGCTTTGAAAATTTGTTATTTAGTCCAAGGTCCTGGATTTGAAGGTTTATCTTCTGAACCTACTCGAGCACATATTTTAAAAGATAACGAGGCACTCAATGGAATTACCAATGAGAAGTCTCTTTTGTTTGAAAGTACATCGCCAAATTTCTTTCAATAGCATTGATAGGCTTATTTTCGCACTTTTTTGCAAAAAATAATCAGAAAAAGTTAACTTTCAATAATTGACTCAATTTAACTTGATGCGCTTTCAATGGTAGCCATATTACTTGAAAAGTATGATCCCGTAATTAATAGTATTTTTTATAATCACCTGTTAGCTGAAGATCTATCTCCTGATGTAACAGCTTTAAAATTAGAAGCTAAGGACTGACTGTTCAGCAAGAGGGGCCGTGATGACTTCTGTCGGAATACAAGAGTAGGCACTGGCTTCCTTGGTGCATGAGGATTACTGACATTTCCAGCATATGCACCATTCTTTTGAAATGTCGGTGAGGCCATCATAATCAACTATCAGCTATACAAATTGGATGCAATCAAATATAAATTTAGTTGACTTTGTTGACCATTCATGGTAATTTGCTATCTGGAAACACACAAAAAAAAACATATTTGGAACTGTCAGAAAAACGCTGCATGATTAGCTTGACACAGTTAATTGTTGTGATAAACTTATTAAATAGTTTCAGATACTTGAAATGTTTACCGGGGTAGCAATGGTTGCCCCGCGATAAAATGTCCGACAGAAGATATCACTTGCTCAAGACATCATCTTCAAAAAATCTCCTGATTGCGGATTCTCAAGCACGCCATCTTGATTTTCCAAATTTCAATATCTTGTCCCTACCTGGGGCCCGAATTGGTGCGGTCCAAAACTTCTTACCCGAGAAAGACAAATTCAACATCATCGCTCTGCTCATCGGCGGAAACGACGCCTTCAACGAAAAAGACCCCTCCAGTATACCTGCAGGCGACATTGCTGAAGAACTGTCGAAGCTAGCCGAGGAGCTGTGTGAACGAGCCAAAAAAGTTTTCGTCATCGGAATCCCTCATCGTAGTGAGAACCGAGCTCGATCTGCAAAAATAAACGAATTCCTAAGAAAGATAAAAGGAACTTGGAAGTTTGAGGAGTGAGTGAAAAAATCCACAGCTCATATCATTTGAAAACTGACGAAGTGCACCTCAGTGAAGAAGGTCTGAAGGGCATTAAAAGTATTCTCAAGAATAAAATCTTATACGATAAACATTCGAACATCTGCAATACAGAAGGACATCTGGTATATTACGAGTGTCGTTTCAAGAACTGTCAGTGCCCCTATTAACGTAAGTAGAAATAGTGAACCGCAGGCCTCCCCTTTTCGGGAACCACCAGGTTTGTCTATTTCTTCTTTTTCCCCTGAGTGAGCCACAGGCCTCCCCTTTTCGGGAACCACCAGGTTTAACTATTTTTCTATCCATAGTATAAGCAAAAATGGGCAAAAACTGCAAAACATGTAAAAGAGGCTTTGCCGGCAACGAGAAAACATACACTTGTGTCGCATGCAACGCTCAAATGCATTTGGAACCAACTTGTGTTGGGTTGTCTCTAGTGGCCATAAATGGAATAAAAGAACTAGGGCCGAATGTCATGTTGCTTTGTAATACTTGTGTGCAAAATAATGAACGAGACAACTTTATAAGATGCAAAACCCTGGCCAACATAGACGAGAAGCTCTCAAACATTGATGTAACTGAAAGCCTTAAAAGCATGGAAAGAAGACTTACCGATTTAGTAGATCAAAAAATTGGAAATGCAATGAAAACGACATGCGAGAAAGTGGAAAAAACTTATAGTGCCGTTGTAGCTGCTGAAACCACCACCCGGATAAATCAAGCTCAAACCACTCAACATGCTGCCAGATCTAACTCTGATCACAACATAAATCAAAGTTTTAGGATACAAGGGGTCAAAGAGGACCCTGAGAAAACAAAAGGAGAAAACCTTGTCCCAACAAATGACGAAGTAAACGAAATACTAGACATAATTGGAGTGAAGCCGAAAATAATAGAACTAAAACGACTGGGAAAATTTGATCGTAATCGAATGAAGCCAAGAACACTGCTGGTAACTGTACCTAGCGAACATGAAGCACGACTAGTACTAGCAAAAAGCCAAAAAAAGCGAGAAAAATTGGTCGAAAAAGAGGTCTACCTGCTACCAGCATTGACCAAAGAGAGTGCAATTAAAGAGAACGAAATCCTTAAGAAACGAAGACAACTACTAGATGAAGGCGTTCCTCGCGAAAAGCTGAAAATAAGGAATCTAGAATTGTTCAATGATGGTGTGAAAGTAACTATTGACACTGAAGTTCAGGAACCCCAGCATTGACTAGGATTCCTCAACATTCTGCAACTAAATACTAGAAGCCTAATCAACATAGAGAGAAGAACTAAGCTAGCAAATGCAATTGCAGTTGGAAATTTTAATGTCATATGCTTAAGCGAAACTTGGCTTAACAAGAATATTCAATCATCAGAGCTTTTTCTAAGTGAATATAACATCTATAGATCTGATAGAACTATTGTGAGTGGTAAAAACTGTCACGGAGGCAGCCTAATAGCTGTCAAGAATAGTCTAATTACCGAGGACTTATCCACCAAACATGACATTCCTGATTCATGTGTGCTATGTAGTATAAAACTTCATCAAACTGAAATGATAATTGGCTCATTCTACAATCCGCCAAAAAACAGTAATTACAGATACAAAGTGCATGAATTTGAACAACTGATCAAAGCCATTCCTAAAAACAAACCGCTTCTCTTATGTGGGGATTTAAATTTCCCAGAAACAAACTGGAACACCCTCACCAGTACTGACGAGGAAGAAAACCAAATACTGCAAATTTTTGAAAATGGACTCTTTAGGCAGGCGATAGATTTCCCAACATGTGTGAAGAACATACTAGACGTAGCCTTTTATCGGAATTGCTATACAAGTGCCGAACAAGATTTTAACGTTTCCAAGATTTATGACTGCTCAGATCACAATGCCATAATGTTGTCTATTGAATGCACGGTATCAGAGCCGAAACCATACTTGGAAAATTTTAGAAGTTTTGGAAATGCCGATTTTGAAGGAATAAACAATTTTATAAACGAGAACCCATTTGAACCAGTATGCCACACAAACATTAACAAAATGCATGAGGAGTACACCCAATATTTGGATGAAATCATTAAGAGTTTTGTGCCTCTCAGAACAAGACATAGGAAATCTTTCCACCTTGGATAACAAGTAGCACTTCAAATTTGATCAAAAAGTTACAAACAAAACGGCAATCATGTATACTCAAACCGACCAACTACAGAAGACAACAAGTTAAACTGTTTGAAAATTTAGTAACTGAATCATCGGAATTGGACAGGAAAAACTACCAAGAGGAATTGTTTAGAACACGAAACACTAATGTAATTTTTAAACACCTAAAGAACTTGAATAAACAAACAAGTCTTCCTAAGTTACTCATAAAAGATGAAGTTGAAAGCACAAATCCAAACGAACAAGTCAACATGCTAAACGACTTCTTTCATTCAGTTTTTAATACTAAAGAAAGTTTTAGTATTATAGATATTCAATTTGAAAATCCCTTGTTAACGAATTTTGATATATCGAAAAAGACAGTAAGTGACATTTTATCAACTCTGGACGTAACAAAGTCATGCGGCCCAAATGGGTTGCCACCTAGCTTTTTTCAGAAAACGAACCGCAATATATGCAAACCGATGAACAAACTTTTGAGAAATGTAAAACGCCTACGAAAAATACCTGATTCATGGAAAACAGCTGCAGTTACTCCTGTTCACAAAAAAGGTGACCGAAAAATGGTGAACAACTATCGACCAGTATCGCTATTAAATATTGACAGCAAAGTCCTTGAAAAATGTATATACAAAGACCTGTACCCTTACTTTGCCTGGTATTTGACGAAACATCAACACGGTTTTACTAAAGGTAGATCAGTTTTGACAAACATACTCTCTTTCCTGAAAGAAATATATGAAGCGCTTGACAATGACTCAAACGCAGAAATTGTAGCATTCTACACTGACTTTGCAAAAGCCTTTGATAAAGTTCCGCATTTTGATCTACTTAAGAAAGTTGCACTTATAGGAATAGGAGGCTGCATGTTAGAGGTACTCTATGACTATTTGAAAAACAGGAAACAGTTTGTACGAGTAGACAATATCAGCTCAAAAGTTTTAGAAGTCACTAGTGGTGTTCCCCAAGGATCACTTTTAGGACCACTGCTCTTTTGCATTTTTATTAACGACCTACCTGAAGTACTCAAATTCTCTGAACCATATATTTTTGCGGATGATCTTAAACTACTTTCCATCAAAAAAACATCAATTGAAATTCAAGAAGATCTGGACAAAATTCAGCAGTGGGTAACTGAAAACAAAATGGAATTAGCACTAGATAAATGTGCAAAAGTAAGTTTTAGGGGCGGAGACGCTAACTCTATGCTTTTTGGTGTAGTGCTTGGAACATCGATGGTTGTGAAAGATCTGGGAGTTTTTGTGTCGGGCGATTTAAGTTGGAAGGTACACATTGAAACAAGATTAAAGAAGGCAAACCAAGTACTGTACCTCCTGAGAAGAAACCTATCAGCAAAGATAAATACGTTTATAAAGTTAGGCCTGTATAAGTCACTAATACTCCCAGTGTTATTATACGGACTCTCATGTACACATATATCGAGGGGGGATCAATTGCAGTTGGAGCGATTTCAAAAGAAAGTAATCCGTTGGATCACTGGAAATAAAACGGGAATGTACATCAACGAACTACGCTTGCTAAACATTTTACCCCTGCCCATGTTCATCCAGCTAAATAACATCTTACTTCTTGCCAGTCTTGATTCTAATGAACGAAATGAAATAGTGTTAAACAGGCGAACCACACGGGCTAGAAATACAGAAATTTTTGAGATGCGAAAAGTGAGAACGGAAAAAGCGAGAAACGAATTTGTTTTCAGAACCAGTAGGATTGTAAATCGATTAGAACCATATATTCATTTTGATAAACGAATCGGCCTCAAGACGAGAATTTTAAACACGATGTGGAAATTTGTAAACGAGAGATTTTCAGAAATGACAACGTGCACGTGGCAATTATTCTGTGATTGTATCACGTGCAGAAACAAGTGGACATTGTTTTAGAGAAGACGCCGGGACCAAGAATCCCAACAGCAGTGCTGTGAATCCCCAACAACAACAACAACAACAACAACAGTAAATTCTTCATCATTGATACACTAGAGGACAAAATTAAGCGCAAATCCAGGATTTTACTCTTTAAAAAGCCTGTTTTCAATGTACATTTTAGACAACATTTCCTTCGAAATTCAGTAAAGTTTTTACATTGAGCACAAGCAAATGATCAGAGCTACAATCTATGAAAGTATCAATATTTGGTTTTAATGACTCACCAATGAAATCCGGGTCTGAAAAAGCCAGTTTTCCTCATCTGCACTAACTTTTGCTTCGTAGTGAAATCTTCCTTGAATAAGCGGAGTAAACGATTTGTTCATGCGACG